AACAAATTTAGAAAACCAATCAATTTCTAGGTTTGGAAGAGGATACGTTAATAAGATTTATACTCTCTGACAGCTTTTGTAACAAAGACATGCCTACTTGACCGAACAATTGCACTAAACATAACCTGGAAGTGGAATTTTATCAACGGTTAGCTGAAAAATACTCTGAAGTCAATCAATTACCATAAACTGTAATTAAATCACTTTCTTTCGTTAAGTGTAATACCAAACAAAACACAGAAGACTGACTGGCTGACTAACTGACAAAACCAACGTACAACCTCGCACACAAGTGCATCGACTCAAGTTGCTACACTTCACAGTAGTACACAAAGAGCAGATGGATAAAAACAGAGTGATATCAAAGTAAAGTAGTGTGAGAGAATAACCAATCTGAAAACAAACGTTAGTGCGAATATTCAAGCTTTAGAAAACGTCAAAGAGTGAATACATCTGCGCCATTGCAACAGATTTTCAGCCATGTCACCAAGAATCTCCAAACACTGATTACTTTAGTCTTGGGAAACCCAACCAGGCAGTCTACATCTACACACACGACTCTAACCAACAGTCAGTCTTCATCGACTCGTACCAAGTCTTGGTCTCACCACTCTGAACCCTCTTCCAACTTTTCCCAGAATTGCGCACGGAGGTAGGCGGTGGCTAGCGATGGCATGCGCAGTACATGTCGCAGCCATCCCATTGTAACATCAGGAACAAGATATACAGCGAAGAGACTCTTTTCAACGAATTTATTTTCAAGCTTAACAATCGTGTATTTATGACATTTGAGGAAAACTAAACACTATATGATGATGATGACAATAATAACAGAACGGATGATGACATAGGTATTTGTGATTATGGTAACAATTGAAGTATGAATGATAGATAACAAAGTAGATTACGTAATATATGGAATGGTTTATAGGAGGTATATAACTCAGAACTTTTAGAGAAACGGTCTGTAGGATGCATCCAAAGAAATCCTCATAATCTTTGTTTTATGTAGGGATAACGGATAACTACTGGTTTTAATTTTGAGCTATATTTGACATTGTCTATTGATTTAACCTTCGTATCCTTCCTTTATCACTATTATTGTTATTATAACTGCCTTCATTTTGATTTATTTCCGGTGTTATTTCGCTTAATTGTCTTAATCTTTTTAGAAAACATTGATTTCATGTTGACCGACTTGTCTAATCCTATTACACAATACTTAGTTGATTTACCACTTTCATCAATGTTTTCACCCCCTTCTGATTTACATACTTTTCATAAACCACTCCATATATTACGTAATCTACTTTGTTATCTATCATTCATACTTCAATTGTTACCATAATCACAAATACCTATGTCATCATCCGTTCTGTTATTATTGTCATCATCACCATATAGTGTTTAGTTTTCCTCACAGGATATAACTTTTCATAAATGCCATATATATACGACTGTTAAGCTTGAAAATAAATTCGCTGAAAAGAGTCTCTTCGCTGAATATCTTGTTCCAGTCATCTCAGTCAACTAAGGTTCACAACCTTATCAAGCGACTAGCCTATCTTGCCTAGTCACCTTCTTCTAACCTCGACACTGCTCACACGATGATTTCAACAAACGCAAGTAATGCTACGAAGACATCTATGAACAAACCCTGTAACTGCTTCGTGTCTTCTACTTTTAATGGCCATCTCTCACAGCCATACAACAGGACAGAGCGAACCGCAGCGCCCTCTATTCGTCCTTTGATAGATTGTCGGATATTTCGCCGGTGCCAGAGATGACGCATGTTGGCAAATACCAAACGGGCTTTTTGTATCCGGTCTGAGATTTCATCAGCAACCAGCCCATTTGGGCTGATGCAACACCCCAAGTAGGTGAAGTGGTCAACATATTCCGCCCTAAAATCTATATCGTTGATCTTGGGGTGGTCGCAGACCAATCCTCGAATATCATCTTACATTTCCCAAGTGTGATATCTACGCCAAACATATTCAGATTTCTGATCAACGCACCCACAAGACCCTGTATTTTGTCAGCGTCTGCATTCTCCAAGTCAACCAGATGACCTCGAGGTACTAGGTGAACCTCTATGAAGTCAAACGTACGCAACCCTACGTCAATTAGTACGTCTACAATGGAGTTAAATAGGAACGGTAACAGTGAATATCCATGGCGGACACCACTAATTGTCGTTAATTAACATGACAACAATGCATAAGTTCTTACACGGAAACCTGAATTCCAATAAAGAGTTTCGGTTAGCGCTACACCTTGCAGTCAGAACCTGCCACAACATCTCACGGCTGACAATCAAATACCGCATTCAGGTAAATAAGTATGAAAGGATTCAGCTACCGGTAGGTATGCCAGTTTCAGAACCTACTAGAGGGTGAAAATAGGATCCAGGCACCCTCTTCCGGGTCTGAAACCTGTCTAGTTTTCTCCAGTTTGCCTTTCTTGAGCTTCAGTTAGGCGTCGGATAACTGCGAACCCTAGGATCTTGGACACAGTAATAGTCAAACTAATTCCCCTATAGTTGCCACAAGATTGCTCGCTTTTCTTGTGGATGGATGGACGGGATGATCTGTGAAGTACACCAAAATTGAATCAAAATGAACTCAACTACCTTGTGTACATCCGTGCAGAAGACAATGAGCCACACCTACCGTGTGGGGGCTAGTGACACTACCTGGTTGTCCAAACCTGAGTAGGTGAAGCGGAGTTCGAATCCCTGACCCATTCTCCTTGTATCGCAGCTCCAGTCTGACGGGACTACCTCTGATTCTCATACACTACCTAGTACAGCTGTAACTTTAATCAGTAATTTCCTACCTCCATCCTTGGAAACTTCATGTGGCAAATCATCAGATCTTCCTGCTTTCCATCGTTTCAAGTTCGATACAACTTTCTCAACTTCAAGGAGCATTGGAGGACCGACATCTAAGTCCTGTTCAGGTCCTAGCTGAATGTTGAGCAGCCGAAGCGTTGCTGAGGGTCAGCTGAACTATGTTTCGAATTGTTCTCGCCAAAGTTGTAGGCCCCTGTCCTAAGAAGCTTTCAGCGTCCCGTTCTTCTCGGTGGTGGTTTCACTCACCACCGTCTTATTCTTTCCGATATCCTTAATAAGCCTAAATAGTTGCTGTGTTACCTAACCCTGATGCTTTCCCCATTTCCCTCGCTTCTGCCACCCACCAATGCTTGCGATTGACGCGAAGACTCTTCGTCAACCTACGTTTGAGTTGTTTTCGCTCTTCGTCGTGATCAGAGTCAGCTGGAATCAGTCCTCTCGTGTCAATCAGTTCGGATGACATCGCAGAAATCCAATCACGTTCACTAAACTTTGGGTGCAGGTTAAAAATTCTCTTTACTACTATTTCTGCAGCAGACTTAATATCACACTAAGTATCCTTAGGATGAGCATTACTGTCACGTTCAGATAACCGCTTAGCTATCTACTCCCTAAATACATATTCAGCACCCTCATCTACCAATCGAGCACAGATGGCCACCTGTTTCCTAGGACCAGTAAGGCGTAGACACACACGAGGTCGTAATGATGCGTGGTCGGAATTCAAACTGGTACTCCAGAAAGAGCCACAATCCTCCAACGATCTTCTCCAACTATGGCTTATAGCAATATGATCTATGTGTCCATCGTTTGTTTCACCTAGGCGGATGCCATGTGAGACAGTGTCTCTCCTCATACTTAAAGTTAGTGTTGGTCAGAAAAAAGTGATTATCAGAACAAAATTGCAACAGACTATCACCGTTTTCGGTTCGTTGGCATGGCATTCCGTAAATACCCACAAGATGCCTTTCTAATCAGCTCAGCCTCCCTAATTGAGCGCTAAAGTCACAGAAGAAGTGAAATATCATCAGTAAACATCTGATGATATAAAAAGAAAAACCTCAACTAGCAAAAAATTTTCAATGATACCATGCTGAGTCATACAGTAGCATTTAAATAATTAACTGAAGTGCAAACTTAATGGTAGAAAATAAGTATGCTATGTACTTTCGATCAAAGTCACTTTACAACGAATTTTACGGTGGAAATCGAATCCCATTCAGAGATACCATTACTTGACATGTTACTAACAAGGGGAAAGAATAGATCTCATGGAAGATTTTTTTATCTAAAACCCAATTGACTAGATTTCATATTTGGTTGGAAAATAAACCCAATCCACTCACTTTTTACTTCAGTTCAGAAAATTTACACGTCTAACGCACTGAAAGAATTAGAATTCCTGAAGTTTGTATTGATCGAAAATGGATACCCAAAAAGATTTGTTAGTAAAAATATGCACCAAAATAGCGTCTCTGAAACATAAGCCAGGGCAGATATAAAGAAACTACTTTTGAATATGGAATTCAACGATTAAACTGCGAATGATATTCTGCAAGGTCGATTAACGAAAGCCGTTAGGAAAACATTCTACGCTGTAATTCTAAGAATCATGAATACTAGTCGTCCAATTGTAAACGCCTGTGAAAATGACAAAATACTGGCTGATTAGTGTATTCATCTATCAATTTACATACTCCTGTGAAGCTAGATATATAGACTGTAGCAGAGGCAGATGACTCAAAACCAACGTGAACAGCTTCGGAAATGGCTGTTACGGTAAATTTAGATTAAACAAAAGTCCTGTCCTACAACACTCAGTCAGTAGTGAAAATACACTTTTAGAGGGCTAATTTCATATAGTCTATAGAATTCAGATGAAGCATTCAAAAAAAGTAGGCAAACATCTATAGTGCATGGTATATCCGTAAAACTTAACCAGCTCTTCTGATTTTATGCATTTTGAATTAGACTGACAAATATTTACGTTTTTAACACTAAATGTTCACAGTGATTAATTATTGGAATACGACTGCACACTTCCTGAGAATGACATTGCAGACGGTAAATTTGTCCGCAGAAGTTTTTCGTTATTCGTTACTCAACGAGAATATTCAAATCTCTTTAAAACGCAGGATAGACTTACTAGGATGCCGAGCAAGGTTGCCCAGGATTTTACCATAGATTCGACAGGTCACTGGAGCATCAAAACCTTAAAAAAAATAAACCGCAAATATTATTCGATATCAGAATGTTCATCAATTCTTACAAGTATTACTAGCAATAAAATAATTAGAATATACAACACTAAGGTCTTATCAGACGAATAGGTGTTCAAACCTTCATTGCTATAACTTGCATCAACTGATGATTGCCTACTAAACGTGCAAAATATTTTCAAGTTTATACGTTGCTTAAAAGTAACTTTCCTCAAATCAGCAAAATCAGAGAAGATATGACGGATATAACAGACTAAAATTTGACATTATATAACTACATAATTTGGGCACTGTGGTAAGGTGTCATTTTATCCTAGGTTAGACTTTGACATAGCATACAGTATTATTTACTAGACGACGTTTGGAGTAAAACTGATCGCCCATATTAATATCAAGATATACACACAACTTCTCGTCTAAGTCTTTTATAGTCTCACTTCTTTCCATTCTTTAATTTCATTGGTAGTACGACGTTCCATACATCTGGATTTGGTGTTGAATCACTCTTATTACAAGTGTTAGGCACTGAATCGATGAATCGAGATTCATTCACCAACTTTTCCCTCTATTTAACCACATTAGTCTTCAGGGCTTTTACTCTACCCTATCGTACTGTGGCTGTGCTACCGCATACATAGCTGTAGCTGAATTCTTCTTCAGACTACTCATCTTAGTACGGTTTATCAATCCAGACTTACGTTGGAAAAACCTGTTATAAAACCATATTCCTGGTACACTATTCTGTACTTAGCTATAGAATCGCTTTATATTATTTGTCAAGTTTCTAAATGCACTGAGACAAAACGGAGAAATAACTCTCATACCTGGACGGGATATTAGTTGAACAAAGAGTGAACAATTTTCTTGACTTTCATAGGATGGATGCAAGGTGACCACATGGGACAGAACAACATCAACTGAAAGAAAAAATGAACTACTCAGTTCTTCAGCAACGCTTGCGGGAAAATCGTGGCCTATAGGATATGATCCACCAGCATAAGATACACTAAAAGAATATAACAAAAACATGCACATCCAAGCAACGCGAATTTATGCATACACATACCAGTATTAACGAAGATTATTAAAACTAATTAGGCTGCAGATGTTATCTGCTACCAAAAGAGTTGCTTAGAAATCAGCATATAAGAAAAATTTAAAAACACCAAATGCAATTCAGCAATTATGTACACATTTATAGAGAAGACAAATAGACATATCTATTGTTTGAGGCGTAATAATACTTCTTAGTGCTAATTAAAATGCCTTTGGCAACAATGTGTGTTTATGCTTTACAAAGTGAGCCATACCTACAGTGACAGAGTTAATTATACTACCCAGCTGCACAGAACTCGGTAAATGGAGAAAAGTTCGAACCCGCGACGTATTGGTAGGACGTCTAGTACACAAACCAATAAGTCACCTTAAAGTGCTACCTAGCTGCCCAACATCAACAGGTTGAATAGGGTTAGAGCCTGTGATCAACTGGTTGGCAGTTGACAGTGTACACCAATGAGCTCCAGCCCAAAGCACGTGGGAATTTTTCGATTACAGCACTTAGAATGGTAAAAATTCAGTTCCACAACGGAATGCAAGTTAACCAAGCAGACCGCTGAGTAAAGATTGGGGGAGTGAGGCCCCAACTTCCCCATTGTGGCAATAACAATATTACAGATCACCAACATGTACAAGCCTTAAAGACATGGCCACTATGTGCGACTTTATGACCCTATCTGACTATTCAAACCTAAACCGATGAAAACCAACTGTATCACTTGATGCCATTCATAGTTTCTCTATTTGTCAAAAAGTTTTTTTCAAAAGTTTTATCGATAAAACATACCAGGAGAGAAAAAACGTATGAATACTATTCATGGCAATCCATTCATTTGGCAGAAAAATTACACCAATCATAAGTTATGGATAAAAAAGGGAAGATGTGGTTATCATGACTTGGTAGCCTACAGGACAGTGCTCTGATATTCCAAGCTACGGGTGTTGCGTTCGAGTTCCAATGGGGACATCATCGTTCCCTGAGATGCAGGTACGTATATAGGACGAAACCCGCACCCTGAGTTCCGCTGTTAGCAGTAACCAATCAAACTACATAAAAGCTGTCTGAAATATGCTTAGCAGCCAAAGTTAACACCAATATCAATCAGAAACCACTGCTAAAGGTTTACCTGTTTTATTTGTGCCTACCACAAAACTATTTGATATGAGTGACTGAAAGTGCCAGTATATATTTGATGTAGCGCAGAATACCTTTGTCAAATGTTTCAGAATGCATTCTTTACTGTGGTGATTAATTTATAACATTCTGAAAGTCTGATCAATAGGTAATAGGGTAGAATTCTGAAATTTAAATGACGTTAGGACTTTAAATATGAATGTTTTGAAATAAATCCCAAGCTCTCTCCTACCAAGAAGATATAAGATACTCCTCTAAAATTCAGTGTATCAAACTGTAGAATTTAAAAAAAGGTACATCTCGCTGCTTGAATTAGTCTACTGATAAAGGTTTAACTTGCCTACCAACGTAATGATATGAATATATCTAATCAGAATCTAAATGAAAAGATCAGTTTGTACGCTGATTACGAACTATGGATACATATCTTTCGGAAGAAATAAGAAAAACTGTCCTGAATATATTCAACTTTAAAAGTTCAAAGCATACTTGAATTATTTTTGAACTGTTAGTCTATTTCAAGTTATCTTTTGTCTTATTGTTAGTATTTATGTCATAAAATGAGAATAGGAACTGATGACGAAAAAGTGAAAATCGACTACATAAATAACCGCAAGTGTTGTACAATTACTACTCACATATTTCATCAATTCCGGTTTTACTTTATAGCACCTGTGAATACTCGATTACGTAATATGGACCCTAAGCCAAAGTGTGAAATGCACACCAACTGTTTATTTATCAGCTGACACCATTTGCGTAAGTGAATAATGGATGTATGTTTAAAAGTTGGACCTCATGACGAAAATATATATTCGCTCAAACAAACTGTCTTCTCAATATTTTGGAAATGGTTGGGAAGTGAAGGATTGACATTTCAGTAGCGATTAAATGAGGGAATACAATATAGTTAAAATGAACTTTCAGTCAAACATTCATTTTAAAAATCCAAAGGTTACATTCAAAATAAGATGACAGTTTATAATGTGGAATGATATAGTTTGAATCGGTCAATGATTACTGAGGCAATATTTGTTAGATCAACTAACATATAAACTGCTTACGTACTTTATCATCCATAAAAGCCAATCAGCAAAAATGACTCTTGCTTCGGAATCTATGTCTGAAGTTAAAATTTCCTTTGTAAACTCTCGAATACAAAAGGTAAAAATGCGACTGAGAAGGTTTAACATCTGGATACTGTTCTCAGTATCTTTAACATTTATCTTCTTTGTTTCCATTTCATTCTGAAAAATAACGATAGTCAATTTAAAATTAAACCAATTTGTTCCATTATGATTAAGGGAAATTTCCCAAGATCATTATCACTTCTAACTAAATGAAAACTAAACTCCGTCAGTAATCACGCGCATGTTTATGCTCTAAACAATAAGCCATACTAGTGGCGGGATGGTTAGCCATACTATCTGGCTGTCTAAATCTCGGTAAGTACAGTGGGGTGCAAGCCCCCTATCCAGTAGTTGGAAATCACTCACCTAGACCAATGGACCACAACCCTACCTGTCGCATGTTTTTCAAAACGCGAGTACAATCTTACTTACCAGGCTATCAGCCAGGTTACAAGTAGTGGTCCATTGGTGGCAATTTGAATGCCTACACTAATTACACACACTTCAGTCGTAATGATACAAGTGGCTCATTTAAATCAAATTCAATGTTCCAAAAGGCAGTTAACAAATGTATGAACTGAACCTTATGTGGCATATACATTTAAAGTAAATTAGTATTAAACTTACAGAGTATGGACGACTGCACTTATCATAGTAGTAGTGTAAGGAATCCACGATGGACTTCAATATATCGCCAAACAAACTTTCGATTCCTCTCCTTGCAGAATCCCCTTTGCCTTTCGAAATTTCATGTACGTAATTACGGACCTCACACTTGTATTGTTTCATAATACTGAAAATAACCTCAGATGTGAGCACTACCTAGAAGCAAATTTCCATACAGGTAAGCTAAATGATGCACCAAGACTGTCTGCCACTTTTGCAAGTTTGATTAACTCCTTGCTTGCTTAAAAGATGAGGCCAAAAGAAGAAGACAAACCTACTATGGCCTACCACGTTAAACTTCAGAAACTCGACTTTGGAAAGGTTGTTCTTCAAAACCGAACACAGCCACTAAATACTGTACATAAATGTGTGAAACTAAGTTACACATTGGGCAGCAAACAGCTGGTTCATTATAGTGGAAGGTTCCTCATTGACCTTTTGAGTTAACGCATGGTCGTTCATTGAATTATCTTCACGAATCGATAAGACAGTATAGCATTCGGTCAGGCGATTGATAAAGCCAGATAATAGAGAAAAGTATTGAGTATCATCTCGAAATGCAACCGATTTGGGGTCCAGTGATTTGCACTTCTCCACCAAACACTTGATGTTTTTAACAGAAACCTGGAAGTATTAAAATTTATAATGCAGCTTACATCAGGATTGCACTGCCCTACCTTTAGGCTCGTGTTTCCCCGTAGACATGCAATTAACTATCATTGTATGAGGCAAATGATCAACTTACCTCGCCAAGGTCACCAGCCACCATGACCTACAACTTCAAAAGAACCCCACAAATCCCAAATCCAACGTTGATCCAATATCCAATATCCAATATTGATAGTGCGAGCGTAGAAAACTAGTAGTTTTTGATCTCTCGCGTCTAGTTCTTAGGGCTTGGTTCCAGTTGTTCGGTTCACTCCTGCAGTGGACGAGGAAATCCCCTCTGCTTTCTTGCTTTTAGCTTCGGTGAGGTGGATGTTTTGTGGGTTAGTAGGTTGTAATTTGTAGAGTGATTAGGGAGCTACGGGCTGCTGGGAAGTTTAGAGAACAACCGTGACTCCTGTCTGTGTAGGTACCTGAAAGAGAATATTAAGGTAGTGGTAAAGGAATGAAGAGAGAAGTAAGGAAGAGTAAATAAATAAATAAATAAATAAAATAAAATAAAAAAATAATAAAAATAAAAATAAATAAATAAATAAATAAATAAAATTAAAAATAAAAATAATAGTAATAATAATGTAGGGAAGAGGAAAGGGAAGGAGAATAAAAGAAGGGGTGAAGAGAGAAATGAGAACGAAAGAAAAGTATTTGGGAATTGCGCGAATGGTCGCGTGGGTTTGGTTCCTACAGAAGAATTAGTAGGTAATGTGGGTGTATTAAGGAGAGAGATAGTGAGTGGTAGTTAGGAGGGAGTTGGGGGCTACTGAGGTTGGTGACTACCTGAGTACGTCCGTGGTAGTCCATGCGAGGTGACATAACTGTCTAATCGCCTCTTGAAAGAGTCGATTGAAGGAGCTATAACGATGTGTCGCGGTAAGGCATTCCATAAAGCACATACTCTCAGGGAGAAAAATTTGGACCTGAGTGTGGTGTTGGCTCTCTGGTGTGCTATCTTAAAGGGGTTTCCTCGTGAAGATCGTTCAGTTGCAGGCAAAATTGATTTGTTTGCATGGTCTGCCTGATGGGCGATCTTGTATGTCATAATGAGGTCACCCCTTTTCCTGCGATAACCCAAGGTAAATAGGTTGAGGTGTTTAAGTCTTTCAGGATACGTCTTTCCCCTTAGCCCCACAACTGATTTTGTTGCAGTTCTTTGTATTCTTTCAAGGAGATTAGAGTCTCTCTTGAGTTGATAGTGCAAGAGTAAAAAACTGACCTCTCCCTTCCTGTTCGTAGGGCTGAGTTTGAGTTGTTCGGTTCGCTCCTGAAGTTAACAAAGAAATTTTTTCTGTTCCAGTGAAATGAATGTTTTTATGGGCCATCAAATTGTAATTTATAGAGTGATTAGGGAGCTGTGGGTTGCTCGGTAGATTAAGGGTTCGTCATGACTTCTCTCTATGTAGATGCCTGAACGGGAATGCCAAGATGATGAGAAGATGTTTGCAGGAACTACCGGGAGGGCAAAAGCGGACAGCATGAGTCTAGTCGCTAGAGAAGAGTTAGCCGATGATGTAGGTGTATCAACATGTGGGGCAGTGAGTGGTAAGTAGAAGGGAAGTGATAGTGGCCTAATGAGGCTAATGGCTCTCTGATGGCATCTGTGATAGACCATGTTTAATAAAATGACCATCTAACCTCCTTTTGAATGAGTTTAATGAGGGAGTAATGACCATATCCCGTTCTATGGCATTCTATAGAGCACGTACTCTAAGGGAGTAAAAGTTAGACCGGGGCCTTGTGTTAGCTGCCTAATGTGCCATCCTGACGGAGTTTCCCCCTGACAACTACTGTATTGCAGGCGAGGCTAGCTTGTCTGATGGATGATCTTGCAGGCCATGGTAAGGTCATCCCTTTTTCTGAGTTAGCCCAAGGTGAATGGGTTTGCGTGTTTTAGTCTTTCACAGTATGCCTCCCCTCATGGTCCCACAACCGACTTTGATGCCGATCTTTGTGCTCCTTTAGTTTGATTGGATTCTCTCTAGTGCTGGGAGTGACGCCGTTTTGTAGACCTCTGGGTGGGGCCGTTAGTAGGATTTGAAAACTGGGAGAAAACGTTCGGGAATGGGAGCAATAGTCTGTCTACGCAGGAAGTTCAAAGTGGCGTTTGCTCTGGCTGTCACGTCTTTGCAGTTTGAGCTGGTCTTCAGAGTGATGGAGAAGTTGAAGCCTCAGTCTTTTTCCTTGAATACTCTGGTGATAGCACGGTTGCTCAACATGCAGTAGAAATTGGCCGTCCTTGCTTCCTAGGCACTGATGTGGACTGCTCTGCGCTTTTTCAGGTTGAAGATGGAGCCGTTTTCCGACGACAAATACCTTTCAACCAGAAAAGTTTCGAACCTCGCTTCGTAGAAATAGTGAACGGCGGTTCCTTAGGTCATGCCTCAACCTCAGAGGAATACAGTGTTTGCTCGTGATGGTCAAAAATGTTTTCACGGTTTCCATAAATCTCAAACGATATGGATAATTATAAATTAATCAGCTCTGTAGTTATCGCCACCGGTTACCCTCAGGGCTACTAGGGATTTCTAGGGTACAGTCCATCTATTCAGCAGTGCTCTAAGTGTGCACCAAACCTCCCCTTAAAAGAATTTAGCTAGAAGGCTGTAAAACCTTCAGGAAGGGAGTTCTACAGTTGACGTACCCAACTCCCAACATCTATGATGCGAGCCAGAAAAATTCATGGTTTTTGATTTGAGGAGTTCATCTTCAAAACTCGCATTGTCGAAGTAACGAATGGTGGCTTCTTGGGCTCTGTGTCCGTGTTATTCATAAAGTTTCCTTGCCTGGAGTGATCACAAGTCTTGCACCAACACCCCTAAACTTAAGAGGAAAGGGTCAATTGTTCGGCTTTCTACTTGTAACGCTTCTATACAGTCGCTTGTTAGCCTTGGAAAACCTCTTAGTTGAAGTCAGTCTGCAAGACAGGACACTTATTTGGCGCTCACTCTCCTTTTAAAAGCATCAGATGAACGGGGTGTATTAGAATATGGTGGGGAATTCTGCACTTTACAGATTCTAATTAAGTACCAGTAAGCGCGGATTTTCGTACGCATAGCTATAAATGGTTTCAAATGGTTTTCAATGGGATAGGAAAGGCTTCCAATTTGCCAGTGGATCACTAGTTTTCGAGTCTGGGGGCGCAGGTACGAAGACAAAGAATTGAAATAAGACTAGGTTGTCAGTGGCTTAGTCTTTAAGCCAATGCTGTGACTCTGAGTGGATTTCAAGTTTGTGTTTGAGAAGCTATCATGACGCATCCCAGAGCTTCAAAGCCTAAATAACTGCAGTATGCTTTAAGCTTTCTGTCCATCCTGATATTTTCAAGTTCTGACTTCTGGATGATGTCCCCAAGATCCGTGCAAGAGTATATCCACTGCAAACGGTAAAGCAGGTGATCTGAGATGCTCAAAATGTTGCACATCATTATCAGTATCACATCTAAGGCAGTTATATCACAGGGAACATAAGACCGCCACTGCCTTGAGTTCTTGGTATTGTTTGAACCTTAGTCCATAAATAGCTTCGGTGCACTGTTTCTGGGTCTGTTCTAAATTTTTCTCGGCTTTTTGAAGTACAGACGGATACACCATGGTCCCAAAATCCAAGTTAGGCTGCATGAAGCTGTTTAAGGTTTGGCAGTAGCATTCGCAGTGAAACTTACCGAAGATTTGTCACAGTGTTGCAAGTTCCACATTTACGTGAAACTCATTTTCATTGCTGCTTCCACTCAACTCTAGCAAATGCGGAACTCTCTGTTTCAGTAATTCCAAACATCTTACACCCTGGAGATTCCGTGCTGAAATGGTCTAACTCAGTGTGTAATTTAGGTATTAGGTATTCTCGGAACTTACCGTCTACGGAGTGCGCCAACCCCACTGTTTTCAGGTATAGGCTAACAGCAGGCCTTTTGCTTAAACGCGTATATACCGCTGAGGTTAGACTGCTTTTATTCAAAGTAATGATCCTCCCAGTACTCGAATATGGCACAATCATCTTCAGCAATATGTATGCTTCGGATGGGATACGCATTGAGAATATTCAAAGAAAGTTTACCCGTTGTGTACTGGGTTGTTATGAAGAACTTGATTCTGAAGGAGGCTGTAGGAAACTTAAGACTGACACGTTTGGGCTAGGGCGCCCAAGCCTTAGCCTTCTTTTCCGCCTTCACGTGGCATTACTCATACCTGTTGCTCTCCTGCCTTTAAGCCTTCGTCCTCATACAGTCCACGCAATCATGAGTGCACTGTGTCTGTCGAAAAACACCACCTTAAACTTGGGCCATGATCCTATGTGATACAGAATAGCGAGTTGTAGAATAAGCTCCGGCAGCGTATTCGCACCTGCATGTCCCTATTTCAGTTTCAACGTCTACTCAATGAATTTTCACAGTTCACGGATACCCATAAATTTCCTGACATTTATAATGTATCCACAAATATGAAGTAAAATGAAGCAATCGGCACGTAATAATGGTCGAGCTGTTGGGTTCACTGTGAACGCGCCTAGACCTCTAAATATACGAGGGTTATTGAAGTCCTTGAGTTCCCTCAGCACTGGTTGGTTTACGACTGCACACAAGGGCATGAATACTGGTTCCTCTCCGTATAATGAACTTAGTCTAGACTGTTCTCAAAGCACTACGGTACACCCCAAAATAAAAAATTTTGAGAACCTTATGACGGAAAAACTATGTAGTTGGCTCTACATATACACATGAAATGTACATAAAGTTAGAAGAAATCAAAAAGAATGGGGACTTCTGTCCTCTCCAAATTGAAAAGCGTAGTGATCCTCTTTTCCATTTCCGCCAGTGCTCCCTTTTTCTTTTCCACGTTCCAGCGACAGCCCCATGACGCAATTTGATACTGAATTTTAATCTGAACGTAACTAGTTCGTAAAAATAATGCCTGCTCATTGGTGCCAATAATTATTGGACTGTTCCCACTCACATTAGTTACACATCTATGGATAATTTGCCGGTGCTCCAGATTGTACAGGTGGGTCCTTTGTGGTTAGTTATGAAATGAGAAACTTTCTAAGGAATAGACGGTTATATTACCAAGTAACAAACTATGCAGGTGGACCAACAACGTCGGCTGGTTACAACGCAAACCTCGAA